GATTAACAACAGTGAGAACCATGCTTTACTCACATTTTATTATTTGAGACAAGTCTCGCACTCGCGGTTTAAATATTTTGATTTGTTGATCACTTTGTTGAAGAAATTAGATATGTGCTAAGTGTTTAAAACAGCTCGCCCGCCTAAGGGATAGGTCGACCTGAATATTGATGGCGTAGCTGAGTTATGGAGGGTGGGGTCGGGTTTCAAACTTGTACACGTCATGGAGATTTAAGTTATCATCATATATTATTTAAAATTAAAGACAACTCCACACGTTTACCTCATCAACTAGATACGTTTTCCCTTGTACATGCAATTCCACCTACTGGGCTACTAGTTGCACTCTTTCTAATTTGTTTTCAGCTTGAGATTGATATATGTTAGTTAATATTCATGACGATAATCTCATGTTTTAAAAGGCTTTTAATTTAACGGGTTCTGTGTTAGAAATGCTCAATTATATATAGCCTTTGAAGCCCAAATATTGCTGAGATCTTAAGATTGGCCCGACTTGAACGCTAACAAGAATATGGGCTGCTTTCCGGCCCCAGCTTTTTGGACTTGTGTCTTCCAGTAATAACTGACAATAATGCTGCATTTGATTTTTCTTTTTTTTTTTTTAAGGAAGGGATGATAAGTTGGTAGCTGTTACCATATTAAGGTTAGAGAAAACTTATAAACTCAGGTCTCGTTTGGCTCTGGAGCAATTCAGAAGATTTTTATTACCAAAAGTCAGAAAGTTGATTTGTCAATGTGGCAATTTGCAAAAAATGGGAAATACACTATTAAGTCGAGTTACCATGTGGCTAAGGGGTTGAAAAAGGAGGTTGTTAAAAAAAACTAGAGTAGCTTAGAGCAAGTTTCAAAGCAAGTTTGGAAGGGCATTTGGAATTTAAATGTTCCCTCAAAAGTGCAGCAATTTTGTGGAGAGTGTTAAATGGAGCTTTGGTAACAAGGGAAGCTCTGTTTAGGAGGAAGTGTGAAAAAGATCTTTTGTGCCCTGTTTATAATGAGGAGGTAAAATCTCCTAAGCATGTGCTGTTTTTCTGCCCTTGGGTTAGCAAAGTTCAACATGGTAGTCCTTGGGCTTTGATTTTTACTGATGTAAATATTATGAGTTTTGGAATTGGCTTAAGGATATGTTGGTGATGAATAGGCATATAAAGGATTCAAGGAAGGCCTTCATTGCTGCTACTTGCTAGGGGATTTGGAAGGGTAGATGTGATTGGATTTTTAATTCCATGCAAGTTAACCCTGCAAAGGTGATTGAAGCGGCTGCCTCTTCAGTTGATGAGTGTCAGTGAGCTAGAAGTATTGAGGAAAGAACTACAGAAGATTTGCTAGATGCAAAATTAACAGGAGTGACTGTTGGAGGCCACTTAAAAAGGAAGAAATTAAGATCAATGTAGATGGAGCCTTTTCTTACAATGGTGGTAAGGCTGGGTTGGGAATGGTATGTGGAAATGCAGAAGGGAAACTTATGGGTGGTATGAGTGAAAGCATTTTTGCTAACTCTGCATTTATGGCGGAATGTTTGGCAATAAGGAATGCTTTGCTGATTAGCAATAAATTTGAGGGGTAAAAGAGTTTGTATTGGAATAGATTGTGAGGATATGTTTAATTGCATTTATGCCAATTTAGTTGATTGTTGTAAATGGCAAAGTGCTATAGCGGTATCTGATATCTTGTTGCTCAAGGAGTTGAAGCTGTGGGTTTCTTTTTTCTTAGTTGCAGGATAAGGAAACAAAGTTGTAGATATGTCAATATAACTGGGAAAACAATCGAGCTCGACTCTTAAGGGCCTGAGTCCTTGAGTCCAATTCCTTATTTTTAACCCCATTTATGAGGTCTGGCCCTTATTTGAAGGGCTCAGGGCCAAGCCCTTAAGCCCTGTTCTAAAAAATTTAAATAAAATTAACTACTATAAATTAATTAAAATATTTTTCAAAATCTTCATAATCTTTTAGAAATTAGCAACACACATTTAGAAATTTAAATTATAACATTCATCAATCAAAACTCAAATCTTCCTCATCTTCATCGTCTATAAATAAAACATTAGAACCTTCAATAGTAGGTCCACTTGTTGAAGTGAAAGAGCTTTAATGTCAATACACTCTTCAACCGCTTCTTCCTTACCTATAATAAATATTAACAAAGTTGTGTTGTTATTAAATATACACACTCACAAATATAAGAAGACAAAATATTTAGATATATTACAAGAACAAGAGGCGTGAGGCGGGGGGGCAAGGGCAACGGCGTGAGTCTGAAGGAGAAGCAATCGCAGGTTCAAGGTGAGGAGTGACTAGGGTTCATGCATGGTTCAAGAATCAGGATTAGGGAGGGCTTTAAGTGACAAGTCCATGACTTCAAGCATGTGTTTGGTGTTTCACTAAAAAAAAATAACAAGACTTAAAAGGCCACTCGGGCCCCAGCCATTTTTTACAGGGCTATTAGGGCCAGACTCTTAAGCTCATTACTTTAAAAAAATAATTTTTAAAGTCAAAACTCTTATTTAAATAGTGCCTCCAAGCCCGGCTCTCATGCCCGACTTTATATGTCACCAACTAGAGGTAAAAAGGGGTTGGAGCCTTATAGGTGCCTAGAAAGAACATCAACTCCTTTGTTTGGTATTCTTTTGGTTGATATGAGGAGGAATAGGAAAAGGATTGCTGTAGAAAGTGCTGTTGTGTAGAGAAGAGTTAGTATTGGCTGATAGTTATGCTTTCTAGACATTTTATCATTGCTTTTGGTTTGTTGCTGTTCTTTTTTTATTTTCTTTTTGTAGGTTGTACCTAAGATTTATTGCTTCTTGAATAGGTTGTATCTAGGTTTATTTACTTTCTTTTTTTCTTTTTCTATTTAATGTGTGTAATATTTTTTTGATATCAATAAAACGAGCTCCTTTTTTGTAAAAAAAAAAAAGTCTTATTTGATTATTAGAATGGAATAAAATGAAATGAATTAAAAAAATAAAGGTAAAAATAATATTCCTTTCATTCAAAAATGTAAGGCATTTTTAGTTTCTGGAGGTGTAATTATTATATTTTTTTCAAAAATAGCCCCTATTGGTAGTGACTTTATATTTATTATTGGGTATTTAATAGAGATAAATATAAAAAGATAGGACTAATTTGAAAGTAGGAAACTATTTTATTAGAAGTGAGATTCAGTTAAAAATACCTTACATTTTTAAATAGAGGGAGTACAATCATAAAAGATGGTGAACCACATTTATAAAGGAAAGAGGTAATTTAATACATGGGGTTAAAAATTATGATTCATGAAATTTTTAAAGAATGTGATAATTTTCAAATTTGAAATATATATTAATAAGTTTTTATCACACTTACTAGGGATGTGATTTAATTCATTTTTGTATTTATTTTTTTCCAATCAATTCCATTCCTTTTTTTTTAACAATCAAACGGACCTTAACTTTATATATTTAAGATATTTATTTTTAATTAAAACAAGATAGGAGCATTATTTATAGACTATTTATTTTATAATAAATTCTTATTATTAATATTATTAACACATTAAAATTTATTTATTTTAATTTAATTAAATAAAAATATATTAAGTATATTTAAGTATTGCCAATCAATGTCCCCACCATGGGCTGTACTATATGTAATTCAAGAAGGCCAATGCTCCCCATGAATTTGGAAAAAATTATAAGAAGGGGTTATAAGTTTTATTACTGTACACTTCTTGATCTAAATATTTTATATCCTTTAACTTAACTTTTAAGATATTTGGGTTTTAAAATAATTTTAAATATATTCAGTTAAAGGCCAAAAAAATGTTGCATCCCCTTTAGAAAGCCAGATTTTGGCACGGTCACTAATCCCCACCCTACCTAGTTTTAGAAAGCCAGAATAATAATTCAAAGAAAGAAAAAATATCTGGTCCGAGGAAAAAAGAAAGACCAATCATATGCTTCCCCTTTTCCGCCGTGGGAAAAATGATACACTCAACGATTTGAATCCAAAGACAGACCCATATCACCAAGCTGATCCTCCTGAGTCTAGAAGGTTGGCAGGGAACAACAGTCATGTTGCTGCTAGCGTAAGTTCCCTTTAGGTTGGCGGGGGTTGGTTTTGACAGTTACTGCACCCGTCAATTATTATAAAAAATATAAAAAAATAATAATAATTTTTTTTAATTATATAAATAATAATCTGATATTTAAAAATATCATAATTTTATTAAAATTTTTAGAGACCTTTTTATTAATAAATTTTAAATTAAAAAGATTTTTTATTTTTATTAATAAATTATAATTTTTTATTCAATTTTTATTATTTTTTAAATAAAATTTGTAATTCTTTAAATAAAAATTATGAATGGGATTTATTATTTTAAAAATTTATTTTTAAATAGTAAAAATTAAAATTAAAATTTTTTAATTTGTTATTCAATTCTCACAATTCATAGAATAAAAGTTATTACTTTTTAAGCGAAAGTTATGACTGAAACTTTTTTTTTTAATAATAGAATTATATTTAATAAGTTTATAAAATAAAAATTGTGATTGAAACTTGTGATTTTTAATAATGATAAAATAATTTTTTTATTTTAAAATTTATTGGCACAAAGGTGCTTAATAATCTCATTTGAATTATAGCATTTCGAGAGTTTAAATTATCATTTATATAATTTAAAAATTATTATTGTTATTTTTCCTTATATATACTGATATTTCAGTTATGTTTAAATTTAATGGTTTAGCGTATACTTTTACCCCAAAAAAGGTAATAAAGAAGTGGTTATGTAATTTAATATGGTTATATATTTTTGAGAAGTGGAAAAAGTAATAATTACCCTGAAAGTATATCACTGTGATTGTATTTTAAAAAAACGAAAAATCGGGGATCTGATTTAATAATTAACGAAGGAGGATTAGGGAGTGAGATTGTGATTGAAGCAGCTCAAACATATAAAAGCAAATCCAGCCTTGGCTCAAGCTTCACAAAACAAGACCCGCTTAACCGCTTAAGTGTATATATAATATTATCTAGCTCGGCAGATAAAACAATGTCGCAGATATTTCGCCAGTACACGTACGACGACTCGTTCCTGAAGGTGTTCGTGGACAGCAGGCTGGCGAACGAGTACCAGATCGCTCTGATATTCGCCAGAGACTACGACGAATCCGATGGCCCCACCAACGGAATCTTCCGCATCTACTGGGACCAGACCAAAATCACTCCGTCTTCCATCCTTCAGTTCAGAGAGAGCCTTCCCCATAACGTCACCCTCAAAGTCTTCATCTCCATCGGAGATCGCGATGTTAAATATCGCTTCCGCCCTATCGATGCTCAGTCATGGATCTCCAACGCCACCGAATCTCTCACCAGCATCATCCGTGACAACCTCTACGCCCTGACCCTCAATCAAATCGAATTCGGACTCGACGTCTTCTACGAACACATCGACGACAACGTCGAGCCAAACGGCTTCGCTCAGTGCATAGGCCAGCTTATCAGGAACCTCAAGGCGGCTAAAGTCATAACCGCCGCTTCCATCTCTCCGTCGTCCAGTCTTAACGACGACTACTACTCCTTGCTGAATCGGAAGTTTCCCAGCCTTGTAGATTTGGTGGATTATCAGTTTCAGAATGAGATAACTTCTGTGGACAGTCCCGTGCTCTTGGAGGAACGATTCAGTGCTGTTTCCAGGTTCTATCCCAAAAGGAAGCTTCTCGCTGGCTATAGTGCCGAGAACGAGGACTGGACTAATCTATCACCCATTGTCTTTTTTGTGTTTGGTTCAAGACTCTTCAATAAGAGAGAATCAGTTGCGGGTTTCTCCATTATCTACCATGATTTTGTTAATCGCATTTCTTCGCCGTCATCGGTCTCGCCTCCTTGATTGTGCGTGCCGGTGGATGTGTGGATATTTATATACATTCACGTATGCATGTACGTGTGTGCACCTGGAGAAGAAACAACATTTCCATGGGTCCTTCAAAAGCCTGAATGTATTAATCAATATATATACATATATATATAGTGCTCCTCCCTTTGCCAACTAGGTGCATGTGTTGTTTGTTATAAATAAAATCTGTGGTGATATTCAGGGTTAATTAAAACTCTCACAATGTAAATAAAAACAAAAATACAAGGCCTATGGTGGTGGCATATATATAAACGAGCGCGAGCGCGATGGATATTTATAAAGAACAAATCAGTCCATTTGCTCATTCTCGTTCCTATTTCATTATCGTCATGGGTTCGCTAGAGCGGGATTTTGAAATTTGTATATCTGTGTCAGAAAGCATATATATATATTATATATAGCAGACACTGAACAAAAAAATAGTATTCAATTAGAACCCTACCATTATTAACTCCTTACTTCTCTGCAAGATTGTTAAATTGTCTTTGAGAATATGTGTGCTGTGTGGGCAGTATGCAAAGACCAAAATCTATGTTTTAGCAATTCCACCATCAAACGTGTTTTTGGGTGGGCACGCGCACAGACTTACAACTGCAAACACATTGAAATTAATTCTATAGCATGGAATAGGTAAGGACGCTTGTGATTTCTCTCGTGACACAAGTGATTTCTGTACACAGTATATAAAAATCTTATAACGAATAAGTTTTCTGCTAACTATTTATGATCTTTTTGCTTGGTGTGCAGAAATACCTCGTTTTTATCAAAATACTGAACGCTTTACTCCCATCACTTCACCAATACATGATGTGAGAAAAGGCTAAAAAAATCCCACATATTAAGCGTAGAGCTTACTTATAAAAAAATGAAGTACATGGGTGGATTGAAAGATATTTGGCAGACTAGCTCAACATAAATTACACGCAGAGCTTACTTATTTATGCGTCATGCTCGTCATGTTTTTAAGGTTGCTCGAACTTAAAACGTGTATAAAATTAAGCTACCCTAGTTAATTGACTTGATTGCTTTAATTTATCGAACGGTTGCTGCATAAGCGAATTTGAATTTGTTTGGAAAAAAAGTTAGGAAAGATGTTAAGTTTTCCAGTGGTGGAATGAGAGAAGCATGACGTCACACATCTTACATAAAACGAAAGAGAATCAAGAATCAAGTGACGAAGGTAAACATTCCGAGAACTTGTAACTGTTGCAGGAATCTGAGCGAAGGCTTGGGCTGGAACATGTGCGATAGAGATGGTTAAATGTCCCGCCCGTTTCCAGGGTTTTATTGCTGGCCCAAAAAAAAAACAAACCTACAATTTAAGTCCCTGTTAGGGCATAGGCGCGTAGTTTAATTTATTGGAATTTTAAGTTACTGGCAACTACTGTTTCAGTTTTTGGGATTGTTTAAGTAACAAGGTCATAAAATATTTACGGCGACCCATTCGCTGAGAACCTACTCAATAGTTTTCGGGCCAACTTACCCCTTCAAATTATTGGCCAATAAAATACGAGGAAATCGTTCAAAAACTGGATAAAAAATTGTTCAACATGAGCATATAGGTTCGAAAAGATTTTCCAACAACAACGAGAGAAAAGAAGAATTGATAATAAAGAGCACACGGCTTTTAATTTAACACTGGTGAAATTAAATAGTAGTGCAGGGGGAAAGAAATTAAAGAGTGAGAAGGGCAGGAGATGGAATTTGGGATTCCTTGGTAAGACGGCAATTGTTGGAGCTAAAAGATAAGAGCTCCGGAACCGAAACCCACGGCGCCTGCAACACTGACGCGTCAATTGTTTTTATTATTTTATTTACGGTCAAAAGGATCCCAGCATTTGGCCTCTGCACTTCCAAAATATTCTCTGCTCTTGTCAATGGCCTCTACATTTCACCGTTTAAACTCAATCGAGGGACAGAGGAATGCATGAGCAGAAAAACAAATTAACAAATTGGCAATATGGGAGAGCTAAGAATGGCGATTCCAACAACTGAATCTATCAAGGATATTAATATTATTGCATTGGGTGGGAGATAAATCAGTTTGACTCTCTTTTTCTCCTCACACACAGGTGAATATGGCCGTGACTGTTATTGATCGTGAAGCCTGTTACATCTTCTGCCCATCTCATTATATCATTTTCCCAATCGCGCCCTCCTCTCTCTCACGGACGTATTGAGTGTGTATCAACATTACTTCGTATATGTCCTGTCTTTATCGGATCTCTTCTAATTTTTGGCCAAAAAAAAACGGATCTCTTTTGATAAAACAACATCTGCATTTGTTGACATCTGATCTGACCCTCAACAGACCATTTCCCACTTCATTTTTTTGGAACAGTCTTAAAGCAAGGCCTCCTCAGGATTACATTCCAGTGCAGCTTTTTTACCACCTATTATTAAGGTCGCCAAAGAGTGTGGACCTCTGAATTATACAAATTCCCTCCTTCTTATTATCCATTTATATCATGTGCTCGTGCGCGCGTGTATGTGTATTTTTTTTTTTTTGGTGGAGACTGGGAAGTAAAGCATAGATGCATAAAAAATATATTTATTTTATAAAATATAAAGTTTAGATATGTGAGTTGAGCATGGATGACTTACCAAGACCGGAACACATTTTTAAATTTAAAGAGTATTGATGAAAATACTCGTCTATCAATAAAATTTTCAGACGGTAAAATTTAATTTAATTCATAATTTTATAAATTATGCATTAAATCCTTAGGAATTGATTAATTCATTCTTGATTACAAGCATATAATATAGGGAGAGCAACAAAGAGATCCAAAATAAATAATTAATTTAATTTAAATTTTAAATATTAAATTTTAAAAATTTACAACTCAATTTTTTAATTTTACAATTCTTTTGTGATAAATATATAACTTGTATTTTAAATTTGAAAAGCAAGTTGTAGATTTATCATAACAGAGTTGTAAAATTAAGAGATTGAATTATAAATTTTTAAAATTTAATATTTAAAACTTAATTTTAATTAATTAATTATTTTAAGATATAAAGTAATTTTACCTATAATATATACATGTATGTAATATCCAGCAAGAATAACTCAAGTTCATTTGACTTTTATGAAATTAAAATTAACTAATCCTAATATATATATAAGAGAGGGATCTCTTTACTTTTTCATTTCTCTTTATTTCTCCCACCTTCATTATTTATTAATTTTATTATTTAAAAAAATTATTTAATAAAATAATTTAAATGATGAAGATGGGAGAAATATAAGGAAATGGAAAGAAAAAAAAAGCACTTTTTCTTTTTTTTTTTGTTTATTTTAATCCTTGCTTGTGTTGCGTGGGGGGGGGGTTAGAAGTTGATGACCCTGTCTTCCACTCACGTGTCTTTCTGACAGAGAAATGTACTTGTTAGCATTACTCGAGGTCGTTCCTTCAGTGCATGCCACGCGGCCCAGCTCTTCAATCTTCAGTTTTACTCGAGACTAAACTTTATAGTCTATAATGTTGGGGGAAAAAACTATAGTCTGATGTACTTGTTATTGTGTAGAATTAGGTAATAAATTAATTACGAAAATACATATATTGAAATTTCATCAAACTGTGATCGTACTACTACGAAAAAACGTCGATCAGACGAGAAACGTAAAATGTATTTGTCTATAACTAGTATCTATTCACAGGTGGTGGAAAAACAAAAGAAAGAAAGAAAGAAAAAACAAAAGAGAAAGAGAACTTAAAGACTTGTCTATCTACTTATTTGAGAACAGTTTTTTATTTTTAAAAATAAAAAAAATCTGTTTAATTACATGTTTCAGAAAGTATTTTAGAAGACCAAAAAAATTAAATATTATTTTCAGAAATAAAAAAATAAAAATATTTTTTATGTGTTTTAGAATTATTATTCTAGAAAACAATAAAGAATGCAAAAACATAAATTCTTCTTCTTCTTCTTCTTAAAATATGTTCTACAAAATATCAATTCTCAAAACAATAAAACAAAAATAATTTTAAACAATTATTTTTCCCAATGAAAAATTTCCATGCAATATATGAGTTCTATAAGGAAATCGAAAAATCCCCATTTTGTGCTTTCATACATTGTATAATCAATCTCATCGTCGTCGCCATGAAAATTGAAAATATGGAGATCGAATGTGAAGTTAAATAGTATTTTTTATGATGGCGATTAATGAGCATATATTGCCATATTGGCATCTGGGAATTGATAAGTTGAGATTTGTGTGTTAAAACTCAAAAGTGTAGGGGTGTGTGTGCGTGTGTGTAGCCACCGAAACGTGTCCAGCGAGTAAAAAGAATGGCCAGCATTGACAATGAAAACGAGTCAGTTCTTGATTGCACCCCACCAACTAACACCCTTCATGTGGAGGTGCTCTTAATTACAAAGTGCGTGCTAACAGGCCAGGGCAGTTTTAAAATATGATTTTTATAGTATATTGTCATTCCAGTTTTTAATAAAAATAACATAATTCTATAATTCAGGACCAGTTAAACTTTTCATACTCATATATATATATATATATATATAATATCCATTACAAATTTTCTAACAAAAAACATCGTAAAAGAGTTGAATGCAATCCTAGTTCCAAACAGCATATATTTGATATGATAAATAACAATAATGAGAATGAGAATAGAAATGCCATGCTCATGCATTGTTTTTTACGCTTTAGAAGTAAAATGTACAATTTAACAGTGAAGCAACGTGGTTCCAATGTTGGAAGCTTTGTAGGTAAGGCTAAAACTAATAATGTGAATCAAGATTAATGAGTCACTTCGAATAAATTCAAAAAATTTTAAGATCAAACTTAAAATTTTTAAAGATTTTTACAGCTTCACACTTATTCAGACTACCCGAATAAACTCCAAAAAATTCAAACAATGTTTGGACCCAAATGAGCATAACTCGAATACCCGAATTTCTTTTTCATTATTAATAAAATAATATAAATAAGAAGAAATAAAAATATTAATTTTTTAAAAAATAAGTATTGAAATTATATAAAATAAAAATAAAATGATATTTAATAATTTAGGGATTCAAGTCAGTTTCAAAGCTCAAGGATTTAAAGTCAGGTTTGATTATATATTTTTTTATATATATTAAAGTATTTTAAACCCATCTTAAATTGAATATGACTTGAATAAACCCCGCTCAGTCGAATTATCTACTTTACCAAGGGGATGCCAATATTGTTATGGAGAAGGGGAGGATAATTTGAGAGCACAAAAAAGGAAGAAAAGCTGTTCATGTGTGAATGTGCATGTCAGAGTCACGTGGAATTCAAAAGGATTGAGAGAGTAAATCATACTCGGCTTATTAGAGTAGACCCACGCAGCCACGCTCCTCCTACGCTCATACCATCTGCACACATTATCTTTGGAATTTTCTTCTATTGCTGTCATCACTGCCTTCATTATATGTTTATGTACACTAATTACACTGAATCACGCACCAATGTCTTGACTCTTGCATGCCCGTGACAACCTTGTTGATATACACCGTTAAGTTAAAAATAATTTTAACAAGGATTCATGTTCCCGGTCTTTGTTATTCAATTTCAACACAACTTGTTTTTGATTTTTTCACACAACCATGTCTGTATGAAAGTCCAGGGCATCACTGCCATCCGTCCAGCCAAGTGTCCTTCGATGTAAATTTGTTTCTTTACTGACTGAAATAAATGGGTCGCTAAAACCATGACATGAGAATTGGCCCCAGACATTTCCCAATTTGCGCTATCTACTTCATTACTTTGGATTTGGAGGCATTATTAAGACAAACCTATCGTCGTTATAATCGTTGTTTAATTTGAATTAGGCTGGGCCAACTAACTACTATCCCTGACCACACTGATAACCCACCGATTGTTTTAAATTTAAAAATCTAATTATATGCTTTCCCGTCGCTGTTACTTATGCAGGCTTAAAATGATAGATTTAGATACTTTTGTCTCCATATTTATTATGCCATTGATTTTTACTTTTCTTTTCTGTCTTCTTGAAACGAGGAACGGAGTCGATTGATCTTCTCGAAAGTTCCGTCCAATTCACTTAATTAAAATTGCTCTTTCTTTTCTCTCTCTGTTTTTTTTTTTTAAAACACGATTCAGCCTGTACATGAAAAATATCCATTGACCCGCGAAATTGAAAAATGTCATTCCATATACAGTCTACGAATAAGAAAGAACATGTTAGAATATAAAGACAAAATTGTAATAATTATTGTGTTTCTAATTTAACGTAACAGTGTAAAATAATATTGAAGACGGCAACTAACAAATATATCACGTATTTAATTTTTGTATCTAGTGAATCAGAATTATTTTTATAAAAAAATAAAATTGTGAGTTGACCCATGATTAATCGAGAGTATCACAAATATTTAAAAGGCCTGCTTACATATTTTCTATTAAAAGACTACTCTCGCGGCAGGGATGGAATTTAAACTCACACTTTTATATAAAACGAGCTAAATCTTGACCAACCAAATAAAAAATTATTGGCCACAATTAATTTTTATATCAACTAACATCAAACTTGCTCAAACATAGTGATGAAGCAATAAATATTCAACAATGTTCATAAACCAGCCTGTTTATCGGCAAATAGTATAAGTTGAGAACAAGAAAAACACGAACTAAAACGAATGGGATGGTCGCTGTACCTGCATTGCATCGAAGTAAGAATCTATATATAGGAAAAGTGTGTGAAAAGAAAAATACAGAAAAGTGTGTGAAATTATGAAAACCACACAAGCATGTGCCCTCTCGCATCTCTCTCTATCAAGTGGGGTAACTTTATCACCACACACACATCCCCACTTTCTCAGTTTCTCTTTCCTTTTCTTTTCTTAACCATCAACCTTCCATGCCCTTTTTTCACCCCGTCTTCTTCTTCACGTATTTAACCTTGAGGAGTATCACTTCGTATTTTCTGTCTTTATTTACCAGGCATGCACGCTTCTCTCTCTCTTATCTATTACGTTAAGAAATTATAGTAAAATTTAAAACACTTCAAGACTATCTATCCATCAAGTCACTGCACATTCAGTTTTGATAATATATAATAAGATTTATACTGCAAGTTAACCAAACTAATGGATTGGCTATGCAAAAATAAAATAAAATAAAAATAGTAGTGCCTTTTAGTGCACTGCATATATACAAGCAATATTGAATCTTGGGGACACATGCTCTCATAACTTTCATTTTGCGCCAGAAGCAAACTATTTGATAACTATTCACTAAAAGGATTCAAACTATTGAAGGAGTGGCAAAGAAAGAATATAATCAAACTGATCAAATTATTAATATGGCGTTATCTCTAGTGTACACCTATCTTTTAGAGGTAGCAAAGCCATATTTTTCCTTCCCTTTTTAATCCTTTATTGTCTCTGATCCTATTGTATTTTCTTTTATTTTGAAAGTGACCTTTTTTACATATATATCTCTATTATTCTTTCGTTTTGTAAACTGAGGCAGGGCTGTTTGAAGCGCGTAGCAAATTATGCAAGCGGGCCCCTTTGGCATGCTATTAGGGGCCTGCTTTCCTCGATAATAGGAAGTCTCACCCCTTAATCCCCTCCCTCTTAATCTTTCATATTCCCGGCTTAAAATTTAATTTAATTTATATTTAACTTTAAGTAAACTAACCTAATCGTTTTAGTCAAGAAAATTATAACTTATTATATGGCTATGAGCGTACAATTAATTTCATCGTCCAATCTTTTATGAATTAATATAAAAGGATTATTCATCACCGCCATTACTTATTTTATCCATTTATTGATTATTGATGCCTGATATAGATGCAAAATCAAATTAATTATTTATTAAAGAGATATATTTTTTCCAATATTTGAAGCGATAGTGTTAACATATTTTTTATATTATGTTTTTAAAATAATTTTTTAATAAACTTTTTCGGCTGTCTTGGAACAATTACTTAATTATTAAATTAATAAAAATAAATACCGCTATAAATAATTGAAGTTAAAGCAAAGACAGCGAGAAAAAATCGTAGGATCAGGACTTGGGAGACGCTGCTTTGATTTCAAAATTTTTCAAAGAAAGAAAGATCTCTCCATAGCCACTATTCGGTTCGGCGTTTGTCCTTTTATAACGGTCGGATATTACGAGAAACGGAACATTTTGACGCCGTTATCGTCCCAACCCTTTTTTTTTTTCCTTTCCCATTTCTTCTTTCCCCCGTTTTTTTTTTTCTTGGAATGCTTTCGTTTTTATTCTAATCTTTTGTTTTTATTTTTAAAACAATAATTTTCTCTTCGTTTTCTTCAATCTGTCTATCTTTTCTTTTCTTTTCTTTTTTTTTGTCCGACGAAAATCTTCAATCCGTCTATCTGGCTACTGACCCCAAAGATAATATAGAAACTCTCTCCCTTCACATCTTTCTTCTTCACACACGCTCTTTCTCTCCGTGATACACAGATATTAAATATTATGCAAACTACACAATCTCTCAGTAGTCTCTGACTTACGATTTCTCTCTTGTAAATTCTAGAATCGCTGCCATTTGCTGACTGAACATTTTATGTGGAGCTTTGAACGCTAGAAATTGCTTTGAACGCTGGCAGTTTTGATTCACTGTGAGCTCAGATTTTAATTCCATTGTATTCTTTCAGTTCTTACTTTCTTTTACTAGTTTTGGATCCATACTTTTATACATTTTGATCCATCGTTATTTTACTTCAACATTTCATCATATTCATATTGAAAAATGATGGATCACCAGATATTTGATTTATAAAAACAAGTCACTGATAGAAATTTTCTTTTTTGTTTGTGTTTAGTGTACTTTGAGTTGTTCTAAAACGAAAGGTCCGTGAGATTGGAAGTTACAGTGTGATGGAGCAGAAAAGAGGAGGATTGGTACCGCTCTCTCCATCGCAGACTCCACGCTCGAATGATAGGCCAGTGCGAGATCTGCGATCTGCTGATTCTAATTCTAATTCAAGTAGTCATAAGTATGATAAAGACAAGGGCGTCAATGTGCAGGTCCTTGTTCGTTGCAGGTGAGTCACAATCAAAGTTGGGTTGATTGAGCTTATTTTTCTCACTCGTAAACTTGGGTGATTAATTTTGTAACTGCAGGCCACTGAGTGAGGACGAAATGAGACTACGTACGCCGGTTGTGGTCTCATGTTACGAGGGTAGAAGGGAAGTTTCAGCAGTACAGAACATTGCCAATAAGCAGATCGATAGAACCTTCGCGTTTGACAAGGTTCTGAGTTTTTCTTTTCTTTGGCCTCTTTCATTGTTTTCCATTTTTGACTAGGCCTTATGTGAGAATAATTGAATCGGAAATATATAATCTTGCCTTTTTCATGGATGCTATCTGCAAAATTCAAGAAACTCTTCTCATTTGAGTGAATAAATGAAGGGAGTTTCAGTTTTAGAAGAGAGAATTCTCTGAATTGTTATGCATTCATATTTTCAAGACTTTTTTAGAAGAGAGAATTCACTTCTTCTTCTTCTTTTTTTTTTTTAATAATGATCATAATTTGGTTTATTTGATCTAGGTCTTTGGTCCTGCGTCTCAGCAGAAAGAATTGTATGATCAGGCAGTGTCTCCTATTGTATATGAAGTGCTCGAGGGCTATAATTGCACAATATTTGCATATGGGCAGACAGGAACAGGCAAGACATATACAATGGAAGGGGGTGCAAGAAAGAAGGTTATGGAGTTTATTTTCACGTTACGTAGTTTTTTATTTGCTCCTGTACTAAATCCAACTAACTATGTTCTTGTTTCCACAGAATGGAGAATTTCCGGATGATGCTGGTGTCATCCCAAGAGCTGTTAAGCAGATTTTTGACATATTAGAAGCTCAAAGTGCAGAATATAGCATGAAAGTTACATTTTTAGAGCTTTACAATGAGGAGATAACAGATCTCTTGGCACCTGAGGAGACTTCAAAATTTGTGGATGACAAATCTAAAAAACCTATAGCTCTTATGGAGGATGGAAAAGGAGGTGTTTTTGTCAGAGGTTTGGAAGAAGAGATTGTTTGCACAGCCAATGAAATTTACAAAATATTAGAAAAAGGTTCTGCAAAAAGGCGTACAGCTGAAACTCTTCTTAACAAGCAAAGTAGCCGTTCTCACTCAATATTTTCTATCACAATTCACATTAAGGAATGTACTCCTGAGGGTGAAGAAATGATCAAATGCGGGAAATTGAATCTTGTTGACCTTGCTGGCTCTGAGAACATATCACGTTCTGGTGCAAGAGAGGTATTGAATAGCTATGTTGGCTTCAGTTTGGTCGATGTTTATTTAAATGATAGCATTTTGAATTGTTTAATCCACATGTTGTCTACTTTTTTAGCAAGATCGGATGGTTACTAGTATTGTGATAATTTGAGAGTAATTCCTTCACCCCTGGGCTTATCTCTCTGCCTTCTTCTATAGCGTTTGACTGAAAAAGACTACTTGCAGGGGAGAGCAAGGGAGGCTGGTGAGATAAATAAAAGCTTGCTGACACTTGGCCGTGTGATTAATGCTCTGGTTGAGCACTCAGGTCATGTTCCATACAGGTAGGGGCCTATATGTAGGTGCAATTTATCTGGATAATTCCCATTGATGTCTTTTAATTTTGTTCATAAACTAGGACAATCATTTTGTAACTAAAATATTTTGTCTATCAGGGATAGCAAATTAACAAGACTGTTGAGAGATTCCTTGGGAGGTAAAACCAAGACTTGCATAATTGCCACAATATCACCTTCCATCCATTGTCTGGAAGAAACGCTTAGTACTCTGGATTATGCCCATCGTGCCAAAAATATTAAGAACAAACCTGAGGTGAGTGTAACAGTAGCTCCCCTTTCTGGCTAACTGATAATCAATCTTATCAGAGTTGTATTTTCTATGATGAAACATATCTAACAGTTTAAAGGTAATTACTTTATCAGATCAATCAGAAGATGATGAAATCTGCACTCATTAAGGATTTATATTCTGAGATTGACAGATTAAAGCAAGGTTGTTGACTGTTTCCAAATTGATACATTTTCTGTTTCTCACTTTGCACTTTCCCTCCTTCCCTTTGACACTTCAATGCTGATTTTTTGGGTCTTTTATTACACAGAGGTTTTTGCTGCTCGAGAGAAGAATGGTATCTACATACCACGTGATCGTTATCTTACTGAAGAGGCAGAGAAGAAGGTTTGTTTATGTTATTCGAATACAAAGACTTGCATTTTGAAATATTGCTAACTCTTTTTCAACGTTTTATAGGCAATGGCTGAAAAGATAGAGCGCATGGAACTTGAAGCAGACTCTAAGGATAAGGTATTTGCCATGCCATAATCGTTTTTCTCACATATTTCTAAAGATTGCTTAGGCTTTGAATCATACTGGCGTATGTGAGCAGCAACTGATGGAGCTTCAAGAACTCTACAATTCTCAGCAACTTCTGACCACTGAATTGAGTGATAAACTTGAGAAGACAGAGGTAAAAGATGAAAAGAGGTGGCTGTGTTCATTCTTTTTGTTCTGAATTTTTCTGATCTTGTTCATAAGTTAAGCTCTTGGTATCTGTTACCTCAGAAAAGTCTAGAGGAAACTGAACGATCATTGTTTGATCTTGAGGAAAAGCACAAACAAGCTAATGCAACGATCAGGGAAAAGGAATTTCTGATATCAAATCTACTGAAATCTGGTCAGTGAAGTTTATTCTTATTTTTTAATGGGTATTTTAATTGGAGTTTATCTAATTGGCTGCGTTTCATTTACTGTCTAAAAATTAGTTTTGACCTGACATTTCCTAAAATTCTCCATGCCTTTTCCAGAGAAAGCACTAGTGGAGAGTGCAATTGAGCTACGAGCAGAGCTGCAGAATGCAGCATCAGATGTGTCCAGCCTATTTGCTAAAATCGGTTAGGATTATTCTCAAGTAGTTTGGTGTTTTAACTTATGGTGCTTCTTTGGAAGGAGGACCTTCCTTTGACATCTTGGATATGTTTACTCATAAATTGCTTTTTCTTGCACTAGAACGAAAGGATAAAATTGAAGATGGAAACAGAATACTCATTCAGAAATTTCAGTCTGAGTTAGCTCAACAGCTTGAAGTTTTACACAAGACTGTTGCAACATCTGTAATGCAACAAGAGCAGCAGCTAAAGGACATGGAAGAAGATATGCGATCATTTGTCTCAACAAAGGCAGAGGTGAGGTTCCTAGGGAGGCAAATGACGTTTGTTTTTTATATTTAAAATTGACAGTGTTGTAAGCTTCATGTTTTTGTATGCTTCTGAAGGCTACTGAAGAACTTCGAGTAAGGGTGGAAAAATTAAAAAACATGCATGGTTCTGGCATGAAAGCCTTGGACAATTTAGCCGAGGAGATTAAAGAAAATAACCAGTTGGCTTTTGAAGACTTGAATTCTGAGGTAGCCAAGCATTCATCTGCCTTGGAGGATGTAAGTGTATCATACTCTTTACAAATTAGTGTCCTTCAAATTCTTGCTTTATGTAACTCAATTTATTTCATTCAGCTTTTTAAAGGAATTGCCTTAGAAGCTGATTCATTGCTCAATGATCTCCAAAGTAGTCTCCACAAGCAAGAGGCCAAGTTAACTGCTTATGCACAACAACAGCGAGAGGTATGTGATTTTTAGTTTACTGGGCGAAACATCCGATTAAAGATGCTGAAAATTTATTCTGTATTGTGTACAGGCACATGCTAGAGCAGTGGACACAACACGTGCAGTATCTAAAATAACAGTCAACTTCTTTGAGACATTAGACATGCATGCATCCAATCTAACCCAAATTTTAGAAGAAGCACAAGCTGTCAACGACCAGAAATTGTGTGAACTGGAAAAGAAATTTGAGGTGAGTGCCCAGTTTCTACTGAGTTGCAGGGAATGATGATTGAAGAGATCTGTATCTGTTTTTCACTTTTAACTTTCCTACCTCTCATTCTTTAATTTATGTAGGAGTGTACTGCTAATGAAGAAAGGCAATTATTAGAGAAAGTGGCAGAAATGATAGCTAGTTCAAATGCCAGAAAGAAAAAGCTGGTATCGGTAGCATTTGAACTTGCGCTAACTTTATTTGTTTCTTATATTATTTTCATGTTCTTAACATTCTTTTCTTCACTTTCTAGGTTCAAATGACAATTAATGATCTTCGGGAGAGTGCAAATAGTAGAACCAGTAAGCTGCGGCAAGAAACACAAACCATGCAAGAGTCCACTTCTTCTGTCAAAGCAGAATGGAGAGCTCACATGGAAAAAACAGAATGCAACTATCATGAGGGTACTTCTGCTGTGGAATCTGGAAAGAAGGACCTTGAGGAGGTTCTACAGAACTGGTATGGATCCCCAAACTCTGCCTCCATTACATTTTCTTCTGTTTACTGTTATTAACTCTGGGTATACTACTGCAGTCTCAGCAAGGCAAAAATTGGTGCACAACAATGGAAGAACGCCCAGGAATCATTGGTTAGCCAGGAGAAGAGAAATGCTGCTTCTGTGAATACAATAGTGAGGTAGGCTTTATAATCCTTGTTAAGATCGATGTGATTTTAATTTCACTTTTATTTATTCCTGGATCTATTTTATGGTTAGGCAAGGAATAGAAGCCAATCAAGCGTTACGTGCTCGATTTTCAAGTGCTGTGTCAACTACACTTGAAGATGCAGAGATAGCAAACAAGGATATCAATTCATCCGTTGATCGTCAGTATTTGATTTCAACACGCTTTTACTTTTACAGACACATAACAAGAATTTTCTTGCTGCTTCATACTATAAATATTAACTGACGAGTTAAAACACTTGCAGATTCTTTACAACTTGACCATGATGCATGTGGCAATCTAAACTCCATGATTATTCCATGCTGTGGCGATTTGAGAGAACTGAAAGGCGTCCATCACCACAAAATTGTTGAGATAACTGAGAATGCTGGGCATTGTCTTCTGAACGAATACATTGTAAGAGACTTCGCATTTATGTGCCATTATGCGTTTGGTCACTGTATTCCAATTTCTAATGTTTATAAATTAAATTATCTTTTTGACATTCAGGTGGACGAACCATCTTGTTCAACACCGAGAAAGAGACCATTCAATTTACCCAGCATATCAGCCATAGAAGAACTAACAACCCCGCCATTTGAGGAGCTATTGAAGTCGTTCTGGGATGCGAAATCTCCAAAACTAGCAAACGGAGATGTTAAACACGTTGGATCTTACGAAGCTGCTCTGTCGGTGAGAGATTCCAGATTGCCTCTCACTGCTCTCAATTAGGACAGAGACAGCCCCGTGTAAATAGCATATTGCTCAGATACATGGTTCTATGAGTTATGACATGACGTATTCATTTATTTTTTTTAAATGAAAAAAATGCGGATCATGGCTGTGGAGACGCGATATAGATAAGTTTTTCTTCCCGGTTTAGTTTTGCGGAATTAGTTTTACTTCCGCAACATGATGATGGTTCATCTATTGATGTCAGCTGCAATTGGATCGATAATACTATGGTTTTGGGGGTGTTGTGTTTAATCTCAGGAGTTCCTTCATAAACGCTGTCATTACTCATTAGTATCATCATAATAGGAGGAAGAAAATTCAACTTCGAAGCCACGGCTCTGTGCTCACCTCGCGGCTGCGTACTTATTGGAAACTACAGGATATTACGGAGCTTGGGACCCCTTTTTTCTAAAAAAAAAAAAATCTGGAAAAAGAAAAATTATTAAAATTGTCTGATTCGAATTACTGTAAAACATATTTCATGTGATTTCCCAGAATATTACATTCATGTGATTGGTTTAGCTACGAGCAAATAGCTTCTGGAATAAAATCTCTTTGATTTATGTGAAGTCTTGGCTCCTTGCGTTGGCCCAGAAAAAAAAAATGTCTGATATGGTTTCATTGAATCGGCTAACAATGGCAATCTTTAAGTGTGTTGTAGTTAATTGTGCGAGTGTATCAAAAGCAAAAGTTCTACATTGCACACATGAGGATAGGTCCAAATATATTCTCTTTTTAATCATATTTATAGGATAGAGAGAGTATTTTTGTTTTTTGGGGGTCATATTTATAAGTCATCTTGTTAAATGTTGAAGAGATGAAATATACTATTAAAGTATGTATATTTGATAGGAGTAAAGTTGAAAAAATATTAAATTTTTAGACAAAATTAATAAAGTTTTAAGGATTTTTTGATTTTGATAAAATATATTAAAAATGATTTATAAATAAAATTATGAGAATATACACCAAAGAAGGAAAATAGACTACTGATTTATGTACACAAAACAGGCTTATGTAGGGCCATTGTTGTTGAAAACAACTGATTTACCCTCATGTGTGTGAGTTAAAGAGGTAATGAATTTTTTTTTTTACTAGAATTATTTTTGTCAAAAATAAATACTAATTTGTTTAATTTTGCCTATTTGTAAACCTTAATTTTTGATTATTTGAATTTTGAATTTGAAGTGCTTAAGAAATAGTGGTCGGTTTAATTGTAAACAAGCTTAATTGTTCTTTGATTCTTAAATGGATTCCTTAAAGGTTTTTTATTTTGCCAACATTCAGTAATCAATGTTTTATGAGCTTTGATTTTCTGAAATTAATGAGTTAACATGAGTTAATGGCCCCCTAACAATCATCTATGTCAGTGCTTATGTGTTCCAAAGGGTGTTGTGAGTCGAATGCCAGACTCTTGAATTTTTGAGTGTCTTCTTTCCTCTTTCTTTGTTTCATGCTGTGCTGTATTGCTTGAATATGTTTTGTAATTCTGTGCCCCTATTAATTTTATAGAAGTCTACTTAATTTTAGAAAATTGATATGATCGATATAATGTAGTAAAATAATTCTTAAAAATAATAATATTCTTGGCATGACTTAGATTTAAAATATATCCATTGATTGCAAAAAAGTGGAGATAAGAAAAGGAGGATGAGAATTGGTGTCACGAAACTTGAAACTTGATTTTGGAGAAAGAAATGGATTAGCATGATGATGCTTTGTGTTGAAAATGATTTTACTATTTAAGTAGGTTTCCTTTTCACTCTAGCGCAAGTGACAGTTTGGAGGAGAAATATGACAAGGTATGATATAAAATTAGATTTTATATAATTATACTATACAAAATAATATTTAAAAGGCATAAAGTATACCTGTCTAATCTAAATAATTATAAGTTTATAGTTATAACATAAAAGAATAATTAAATATATATATTTTTTGCATCGAGAATGATTTTAGTGGGTAAAAAATGGAAATAAATAATGTTTATATAAAAAAAATGGAAAAATTATGATAGATCCCATGAAGTAGATTTATTCATAAATAAATATCACAAAATTCAAAAATCATAATCAGGTCCTTTGAAACTTGAGTACAATTTGAAATTAGGCTGCCAAGATAATGATACTATATTAAACATACAACATTAATCAAATAATTAATTCATAACTATTTTATCAGTAATTTACAACTATAATTTCATATATGCAGTAGTTAAACAATTATGCATTATTAACAAAGTTTAACATTATTTATTTTTAACTAATGATCAATTTAATTATTGAATATATAAAATTTCAGTTATAAAAAGTTGATGTTATATTTGTAAATTACTGATGAAGTAATTATAAATTGTTTAATTGATGAAATATAATATATTTAATATGGACATTATTATCTTTTTACCTTAATTTTAAATCATACTCAAATCTCAAGAAATCTACTCGTGATTTTTAAATTTTTTGGGATTTATTTGTAAACAAGTTTGCCCTCAATGGAGCTGTATGTAATTTTCTCTAAAAAAAATTTGTTAATATCCCAAATGCATTGTATGACATCAGCACTCAAATGAACCGTTAAATCAAAATATATAGTGATAAATATATATTAATATGTTGTTTATAAAAATATATTATTAAAAAAATATTTTTTAAAAAATTATAATACCCAAAAGTTACTAAGACATACTCTAATATGATTTTAGAATGTAATTTTTTAAAATTTCGTTTTCACAATTTTTTTTTAAGTTGGTGTGGAGCACCCGATGCCTGTTACAAGATATAAATATAAAGATTTATGAGAAAATGGTTCTCCACGGTTGAGTGCACGCTGGTATTGCATGACTCCAAAGTGAGAGTGCAGAGCCATTGTTGTCCCGCTACGTGCGAAGTATCCGTGATCGGTTCATGTGTCTAGTCTAGTGGTACTTTGTCCTTGCCAATGGCATCACCTGTGCATGATATACAGAAGGAATTTGTTCTCCATATTCATATATTGGATTCAGATATAATTTGCTTATGGTCATCGATTAGAGACCCAATTAATCACGCATGATATAATTGCGTGTTAGTCTCTAAATAAGTGTTTATATTTTGTTATCATTTCATTAATTCCTTACTTTTTCTCATCAATCAAGTTGGCATAAAATTAAATTAGTCGCCAAGGAAGTGTGTGAATCAACAAGACATTAAAAGGAAATAAATCAACATCTAGTTTCAAGAATTTTAATGACTGCTGGCTCTGCCTGTAAGAAAATAATGCATATGATTCTCCATTTATTTCAGATCACTTATATATTATAGTAAGGTGCATCACTATATTATTGATTGGATCATTGTTATATGATTGTTTATATTGTGGAATGTGTCTTGTGATGTGAACATGTGAAAAATGAAAAAAAGAGTTTAATTGTAAAATTATAACTTGTATTGTATGTAATCTCAAATGTTTGAGTATTCAACTCTCACTTATGTGTATATTATCAATTGACATGTAATTGCATGTAATAAAAGTATCTTGGTTGTTGAGTGATTATACTTGCTTTTCTTTTTTAATAAGAAAGGAAAAAGCTTCAGAGGCTTATAAATATAGGGTTCCTATTATAAAGCCTCTTATCTTTATTTATTTATGTGTAATAGTTAGAATATTGTTAATTACAGTGCATCTGTGTATACACTTGCACTATGTTGATATTTTGTAATTTGGGATATATCTTGAGCCCTAGGATGTTCCTTGTGAATTAACTAAGTTTTGTTAGTACAAGTGTAGGAAATGTTGTTATGTTATTGAATTTGAAATTTATCAAGTTATGCAATACTAATACTTTCCCCTTATGTTTTTGATGTTACGGGGTTGAAGAGTAAATATGTGATATTATTGAATATATGTGCATGCAGTGTGTTATACAAGTTGTCCTAAGTCTTTTTACTATTTTTGAGTGTTAGGAATAGTTTTTGGCATATGTGTGGATTTTAAACACACTTGAATTGTAAAAAGTGTGAAAAATTATGAAAATATATCTAGATGTCTAACTTCCTTATGTAACCAAATTTCGAAGCAAAATATGTGTCATTAGCTAGTTTATAAATAAAAATTTTTATAGACACCTAAATCACTCATTTAAACGTTAGACGGAGAAAAGGATGTGTCAAAAGTTGCCCCGAGTTGCTATCTAATGACAGCAAAACTGCTGTTTGATATGTGCAACACACTGTGGTACATGGCGCTTGCACCGCGCCACGTAGCACAAAGAGGGACAGTTGCAATGCATATGCACATGCCGCGTTGCCTATTTTTATTCCTTGATATTCTTTAACTAATTTTGAGTCTTTTTCACTTCCTTGAGGTATTCCATACTTCCAAAATAATATGTTACTCCAATTAAAAGTTTATTAAATTATTTTTGAGTAATTTTAAATGAAAAAAAAATAGGATCCATTTCTATAAGCTACAAACTTGGTAATCTAATTAGGTTAGCCCAATGAAATTACTTTGGATTTTATAGTTAATTGTGATTGAGTGATTGAAAATTTTACAATTTGCTATCAAAAATTATAGATTTTCTCTTTTTCTTCTCGATTCTTTCATTTTTTTTACAAATGCGCTGAAAAAATGAGTTAGCTCAAACTCATTCTAACCCATTTAGTTTAGTTCAACCTTTTTTTAACGAGTCAAAACAGGCTTATTGTGGGTGCAAATTAACCCATACCTATTTTATCTTACACAGGTAGGCTATGGGCTGCCCCTGAGCTAGCCTGTCCTACTCATAGATAACCTTGATCCTAACAGCCAATAACTTAACATTAGTCGCATTATTTATTGCAACTGTGGCAACAGAGACACCCTGTGGCATTTGCATGCTGAATAAGTATCATATAGTTTAGCCACATGCTTACATAAAAAACAAATCACAATACAAACCAATAAGGTTATATAATTTTTTTAGGGATGAAACCCTGTTCTCTCTCTCTTGATTCTACCCTTTTCCTCTTGATGTGTGGGAAGGGAGGGAGGAATAATAAAAACTACCTGGCATGGGCAACTCTAGATCCAAAATGTCAACCCATAACTCTTAACAAGTGTCAAACAAAATAACTAAACATAAAATAGCCGTACAAGTATTCATTAAGTCCCTATGAAATGCTTGAGCCATTATAACATTCGTAGGATCACTGACATCAGAAAGATTTATTAATTGAATCAGATGTCAGCATTGCAAAAGCCTCGAGCGGGTTGCAATGGTGTAATGCAAT